AGAAAATGCCAGTTGAAAAGAACTTTCTTGATAACTTGTGTCTGTTTGACTGAGGAAAGACTGGAAGTAAAACCTGTGCTGAAGCAGCGTCTTTGCTGTCACTGGTGCTTGGTGTTTGTAGGCAGCATTCTTGAGGCAACTTCAGAATGACTTGCTGTTCCCCTTGAGAGGAACAGGCTTTCTGCTGCTGCCTGCAGGGCTACAACTTCAGCCTGAAAGAGCTCTGATCTGTTGCTATTTTCCAGCTGTTGATCATTGGGATTGCTCTCCTTCCTTTATAATCACTCCTAATATCTGAAAACACTCTGTACATCTCTACAGATATTCTGCTAGTCCTTGAGCAGAAGGATAAATAGAAGCATAGTCTCCTGGTTGTTGTGTCTAATAAGATAAGAGCTCCATTGCCAGTGTTCTTTGTCTTGGCTTAGGAAGTTAAAACAAGTAGGCTCCAGGAGGGCTGTGTCCATTCAGTCTTGCTCTGGAAGAAACCAAGGAAATATGTGTTTTGATTCCTTGGGTGCAAATCTGCCTGTTCTATAGTCAGACTCACAAATGTTGTCTTCAAGTTGGGAATAAATAGTATTTAAAACATGTCACATGTGACTCTAAAGCTGATTCTCATCTTTTATTAGAGTTTACATATACATACATAAGATAACTTGTATTACACCTTTGTCATTAAACAAGCCTAAAATGTGCCATGTTCTTTTGTTAGCAGCAATTCTAGAAGATCTCACTGTTTGGATCTTAATTGTAAAGCAACCTTTAAATATAATGTGCCAGAGAACGTAGGGAACTGCATTCTGGTGTTTCTGTACTGTGAGACTGTTAAGCAATGACGACAGCTGAACGTTCATGGTACTTACCCTGGAAAGGTTATTTTTTTAATAGTTTTTCCAGTCACAACGTGTTATAAGACTGTAGCTTGAGTTGTCCTTGAGACAGGAGAGGTTTGGTGCAGTGAGCAGCTATCGTTTGTGGTGCTGTCCTCTTCCTCCCCCAACCTCAGCTTGGTTTAACTGATTTTTAAATTTTTTTTTAATATAAAGTGGTATACAGTAAGGATTGTGAGACTGGAGCAGCATTTAAATGAGAAGTTCAGGATCTTGGTGATGCAGTTTTGACTCCCGGTCTTGCAGCAGACCTGATTTTGAGTACATTGCTTATTTCTAACCTAAATAAAGAAGCTGTTTCGGAATTAAGTCAGAGCTATTCCAGAGTAATTTCATATTGAAGTACATCCTCAGTTTCCATTTTCTGTCTTGTTTTCTGGATCCTGGTAAGCACCTGGGAGTTTGTAATTGGTGGTGAGGAGACTTGAATTATAAGCATCTTCAGTTAAATGCTGCAGTCACCGATGAGCATGACTTGGGTTGTTGTGAGGTTTTATCACACTCTGTAGTTTACACTAACTTCACTTTTCCTTCTCCTTGCATGGATGCTACATGCACATCCAGTCTTGTATGACTCTTGCAGCTTGCTTCTACTTGTAGAGCAGAGCTGAACTCTTTAAAAGTCCTCTAAAATCCCACCTCTGCGTTTCATCCTTTGAAATGGCATTTATTGTGTATCCCTGCTGTTTGGGGAATCCTGTGCTGCACTTGGCAATATCATTTGTCTAATTGCAGCTTTTCTTTACTTGTATCTACGTGTTTGTTAGTTCCTTGCTGTGTTTTCCCATTTGTTTTTTCCTGCTGTGCTATGTTTTACTGTTTCAAAGCTTAGCAAATGTCCTTCTTGTGGAAATTCGGGAAGCTCCCATGTTAAAGCTGTCAGCTTGACTCCCACTTCTGTATGTGGGTAGTGGATTCCCTCCTCTCTGAGACACTCAGCTGCTGTCTCTGTGTCTGCTTAAAGGACACTGCTGAGGAGGAGAGTCAGACTGACAGGAATAATAGAGAGGATTTTAGTCTTCTTCATGTCACTGACAGGAAGAAATTAAGCCTACTTATTTGGCAGCATGTGCATCTAAGAGATTTCCAGCATCTGTCTTAACTGAGTTCTATTTTCTTTGATTTGGGAACCTGTAGCTGATCCTTTTGCAGTAGTTTTGAGAGCCATGTTACTTAGCAGCTGCTGTTAGGGCAGTGAGAGCTTGGCTGGCCACTGCTGTGGGCTCTGTTTCCAACTCCCTGAATTCCAGCTGAGAGGGAAGTAATCTTGGGTGGCTGAAAGCTATTATGGGAGTCTGAGTCCTTGCAAATGACAGAAACTGGAGACTGTGAAAGGAAAGAAAAATGAAGTTGAAAGTGACCTTTGGATGTCAAGTAGCCTAACCTCCTGTTGGAAGCAGGGTGAGCTTGCAGGTTAGGTTAGGCTGCATGCCGACTTGTCCCATTTAGTTTTGAAATTCTTCCAAGAATGGGAAATCCAATGTCTCTGGGCAACCTCTTCTAGTGCCTAAGTGCTGCCACTGTGAGAAATGTTTTCTTTGCACCTACTTAGAATTTCCCTTGTTGCAATTTGTGACCGTTGCCACTCGCTCATTCTGCTGTGTGCCAGGGAAGGTATGAGGAGGGAATAGAGTTGCAGCTGTGTTCAGAGTCAGCCCAGCATTGGAGCAGGCTGTGAAGGCAGGTAGAGAAGAGGAAAAACTTTCCAAAGCAGGCTGCTCAAACAGGGTTAAAGGCATCATTCTGTTGTGAGAGGTGGAAGACCATCACCAAGGTATGCAGGTGGAGAGGAGCCATTGTTTTCATCACCGTTTTGGTTTTGTGTTTTAGAGAAGTTTCATATTGATGAATAGTAAAAAGTAAACTTAGTGAAGCTTTCCTTGTGTTTCACTGAGTGCGGTAAACAAATAGCTCAATGAATTCTGAGTACTGATAATGTTAGCAAATATTTATCATGTAGTAGAACTGTTTGTGCTTTGTAATTGATCCACAGATGTATTAGCTTGAGTGCTGAATGAGCAGGACGCACTTGGCTTTCTGCAGAGCAAAATACGAATTGAGCAGTGTTTTTAATAGGAGTGCAGGTACACGTCAGTGTCCTTGAGCATGTGGATACAGCTCCTTTTAAGAGTGAAACTTGCCAGTAAGAAAACATGCTTCCAGGTGTGACCCATTAGTTTACAGCAATTACTCAATTGGAGCGTTTGTTTAATGAGACTGGCATTAGGCACAGAAGAGGGAGGTGCAGTTGTGTAAATGTTGCCAGGATCCCTGGTTTATGTTCAAAACTAGGTAAGTGTTACAGGCTGGCTGGAGGGTTGTGTATTTGTTCATTATGTTTAGGGATGGAGTTTCATAAATGGGTTAAACATGTGCTGCTACCAGAAACAACAATTTTGCCTTGCTTTGCTGTCTTTGGCTGCCAGTTCCTGCCTCCGAATGGCTCCGTTGTGCTGGCATGGATGTTACATGGCTATACAGTGAACTGTAGCAGAAATGAGCTTTTGGGGAATTTTTTTCTCTTTTTTTCTTTAGATTAGTTATGTTTGAAATGGCCTGGTTTAGCTTGTTGTCTGGCTGCCTGAGGAGGAGGTGAGGAATGTTGCTGTGGGCAGCATTAAGAGCATTGGTGAGGCTCACACGCCTGACTTGACTGGGGGAAAAGCAAAACTTCAGGCTGCCCTTACCAAACGTTTACTTTATAGCCTGCTTTCAGCCAGTGGATGTGTCAGAATGTTTCAGCTCTTCAATTTTGGCCATGCAGATTTCAGATGATTTACAGGACTTGGAGATTGTGCTGCTTTCCTAGGCTCTTAGGAGTTTCCTGGTGTTGCTCTCAGTGCCAGTGAAACTGTGCTTGCCCTATGCAAGAGACAGTCCATGGAGTCAGTAAATCTAAACCCGAGTACTGCTAGAAGGCAGTAGTGCTAGAGGTGGAAAGGAAAGGAGGGCACAGCTTCCTGACCCTTCAGGTGCGATGTGGGAAGAGATCCTGCACTCTGGAGTGAAGGGAATGTTTCCTGTTAAGGCCTCCACCTGTGGTTGGGGTGATTTTTCTGGGTGTGACTTTTGCATTTTCCCGATTTTTGTTTGTTTACACATTCCTTCTGTGAATGGCACACCTGGTGTTATGTTGTTCACTATCAGTACTGTCACCTTGGTCAAAAGCATCTTGTTTTCTTCCCTAAATGGGCTGAACCACTTTGTAGCTGGACTTGCTTTCTGATGTGGGTTTATTTTCCATTTGTTTACATTTTCTTTGTTATTTGTCTTGCTGTTGGAAGAGCCGTAAAACAGTTTGTTAGTACATGCAGTTGTGTTCATTTTTCTGAGCAAATACACCACATGAGAGCTTAAGCTTTCGTGTTTGAAAAAGAGTAAATCTTGTGAATTCCAAGACAGCATAATTACTTTTAAAGTATGCAGTAGTGAGGAAATCCCACGCTGTTAAAAAGGTTCAGGATTTTGAAAGGCTGAGAGCTTGGCAGCTATCTGTGGGAGAAAGCACTGCCTGTGAGCCTGCTGTGGATTTATGCAGGGACGAACTATGAACCAGCTGACAGTGGAGCCTTTTGTATCAAGTGTGGAGGCTGGTTTCATGATGGTGCAGCTGAAGAGCAGGAGCATGCAATGAACTTACTCCATGGACTGGTTGTGTAGGGTTTTCATTTTAGACCTGTTCCACACTGGCATCTTTTTGACTGATCAAAGGAAACATTTTGTTTCACTGGGTGCATGAACTCGGTAGTATGTATTTTAACTTGATTTTATATTTTTTTTTCCCAGTGCTTTGTCTTGGGTTTTTTGGTACTTTCTGTGAAGCAGTTCTATCCACAATGCGTCTTAGATGTCAAAAAGATGAAGAGTGCTTGTGAAGACCCTGTCTCCAAGCTATTCTTTCATTCTTTCCACACAAGACGAAACTATAAGAAAGTCTGCAGAAAGGCATCAGTCCTCTGTGAGAGCTGCTCAAGCTTATCAGGATTCTGCTATCTCAAGAACTAGTGGCTACCCTGAGAGAATAAGCTGTCTTGAAGGCAATACTCAACTCTCTGGTCAATAGGGATGTTTTACCTACTTTGTTTCTTTCATAGGTACGTGGTGAGCTGCCAGCTATTGAACTATGGCATTCCACGAGATTTGGTACACTGTGGCCCTTGGACTTCTGCTGCCTTTTTCTTATGCCCATACAGACTTCTTCACTTCCATTGGTGAGACATGCTTCGGTGTTTTTGCTGCATAGCTGAAAGAATTTCTTGATGGCTCTCAAAACTGATTCTAGAATGATGTGTTAATGGCATGCAAGGCTTCAACTGGTACAGAACTAAATCCACATACAAATTCTCAAGACCTTACTGACTCTTTTTTGGGAGAAACATGCTTTGAGTTAAGCCAGTCAGGTCATTCTAATGTCCAAGGCTAGGCTTTGTATTTATTATGTATTCTTACAGGTATTGACTTGTAAACAAAATTTTGGTGTGGATTGTTACACGTATGTAGAAGCAAGCAAAACAGCTGCTGAGGGTACATAATGATAACAGTGTGTCAGTGTACTTTCTCTTGGGTTCTGATGGCCTGTGACACCGCTGAAGCTGTGGACTGTATAATTTCGTGATGAACCACTTCGGCTGTCTCCTTGCAGGAAATGAAGCCATTATTAACTAATAATAGAGCCTCTTTAGGAGACCCATTGAAGTCGTGCAAGTAATCTTAAAAATAAAACGCTGGATTAGTACTGTATATCAAACATGAAGTCTTTGTATATTTCTGTAGCTTTGTCTTTATTTGCTCTACATTACGTATGTTTGGATGAAAGCTTACTCTATTGCAACCTACTTCCTTTTCCAAATGGATCCTAAATTAGTTCTAATAATAAATATGTGATATTACATTAACTACCATGGCAACAAGCTTGGTCCAACATGAGATTTTTCTCAAAAGAAAAAAAAAGGCAGACCGCCTCACTCAAATTTTTTTGTTTTTTAAGCAAATGCAGAAGGATTTGGGGGAAGAAAGAGTTGAAGGTGGGAATAAAGTAGACAAGAAGAAGAATACCTCTAATTCTCAGTTCTCAGGTTTTTTGTTTCTCCTTGTCTAACCAAAGTAATTTGTTTTCTAGGTCATATGACGGACTTAATTAATACAGAAAAAGATCTGGTGGTGTCACTGAAAGATTATATCAAGGCAGAAGAAAGCAAGCTGGAACAGATCAAAAAGTAAGCAGCTTGTTTCATAATGCTAATAGTTAATAATTTGAGTCCACTCTTACGTAAAAAGTGCTTCCCAAGGCTGATTAAATTTGTGGAATTTTTCCTCTGAGGCAAAGCTTAAACTAGCAGTTTTTGCCAGCTTTTTGTCCCAAGTTATTATCTCCGAGCCATTGGTTTGTTTTATGCTGCTTTCTAATGATGACATCTAATCAACCCACTTTCTGTGTGATACCTTCACTTTGGGACTTCTGCTTGCACGTAATTCCCAAGGGGATGTAGTTCTTTGAATGGCAACCTGCTTAGTGAAAACTAAAACTCAAGAAGTCTCCAAATGAGTGTTACAAGGACTGCAATGATACACTAGATACAAAAGCTCTAAAAAGCATTGGCATGGCTGTACGTGGCCAACTAATGAATAGTAATAACACACTACAAGAGCAGAGTTTCTTTATACATGCTGTTTAGATTTAAAAGTAAAATAAAGCAAAATAAAACATACTGTTCTTTAAAAAAACCAAGAGATCTGATCATTGCCATTGCTATGTTGCTCTGTTCTATAGGTGTGAAGACCAGAGCCCAATATGTCAGATTTTCACAGCCTGAAATAAACACTTTTGTATTACTGAACAGGACTGCTTCCTGGCTTTCAAAAATATGTCTAAATCTGTCACGAGGATGTTTAAAAGGTTTTAGATAGATGCATTAATTTTATTTTAACCTTTGTGTGTTACATTCTGCCATCCAGAGAGAAAGATACTTCTGTCAGACTATATTTGTTTTTAACACTTAAAATATGAAGTTGGAATTGCTCACAGGTTTGGAACATTGTAAGTGTATTCTCTACAGCTACAGATTTGGTGGCAGCATGCTGATTGGACATCCAGAAGTGTGTAAATGCAGCTTACTGTGTAAGCATTGCAGCTGTTTTTCTTATATCTGCAGTGCTTGCTGTCAGGTTAGAGAAGTTAAAATAACTGTCACAGAGAGCCAGAAGAACCTGGAAAAAATGCCAGCGTTGTTTGTGTTTGTTGGGCTCTGTGCTTTGGCTGAAGGATATTGGTAGTTTGTGTTGATTTAAACTCAGTGAAAGTCAGTAATTCACTGAAATACGGGGGATGGCTCACACCTTGTGTGTGGCTTGTGGTTGAGGCTTTTATGAAACAAACTACTTGAAAGCCGTGTTGGTCTTGTGCTTGTGGCTCACAGTTGCAGTCACTTTCAGCTACTTGTTAGGTTTGATAGTCACACAGTGGGAAATGTAGGATGGATTTAATTGAGTGTAATGTGAATGCACAATTTGTTAAAACTGGTTTCTTCAGTTGTCAGCTTGCTGGAAGCTGGAGTTGGTCCATGGGAGCCCTTTGGGCACTCAATTTTGGAGGGGACCGCATCACTTGCATTGCTGCTGGTGAGAAGCCAGGCAGGGGCTGTCAGAATGTAGGAAAACAACTAAGGGCAATGTGGGAAGAGCGAATGCGCCTTGAACAGTTGTTGACACGTACCTGTGTCAGGTAAAGCAGGCAAACTTAATTCAGGCATAACCAAATTCTGCAACAAGCTGAATGCTGGCTTACGTACAGAGTTCCCTCCAGGCTACAGATTTTGTGTTTGCTTTATATTGGTGCTGATGTTTGGTATTACCTGTGGGGTGTGGCAGTTTCAACGTTAATTTATCCAGTTTTCAGGGTATTGTTACATGTTCTGTCTCTGCATTGTTTCGGATAGAGAGGGCAAGTTGGCTTGTTTTGCAGACATGTAGTAGCATAGTGCTGGTGCTTATAGCATGACTGCTATGCTTGTTGACCGGAGCAGACTGCCCAGATGTTTCCATTAAAACGGCAGATGAACAGCAGTAGCTGTTGAAAGGTGTGCTTGTTTCAGAGTGTGTTGGAGCTGTGAATACATTTTGTGTTAGAGAGGTTTGTGGAGTCCAAACTGTAGTGCCAGCACATTGATCTGGACTCCTCGTTTGGGAGTGCGGGAGCTACACATTGCTTAATACAAGCTTATGGTGTGGAAGGCAGTGTTGTAGAGGGAGGCAAGGGACCTATCATAGATTTAAGAGTGTGTGTCTAGAAGTAAAATAATTTGAGACAAGCATTGAACTACCTTTTTGTAAGCTTTAGAAAAAAAGAGCATTTAAAACTAAAAGATTAAAAATGTGGGTAAAGCTTTGTCTTTCGTTAGTTCTTCATGAAAACTCATAATGGAAGTGCCAGCATACTGCGTTTGGTAGGAAGGATTTCATTCTGAAGTGTTCTAACAAAGACCACAAGAGCAACACGAGAATTAGGCTGCAGCTGAGGAAAAAGATCTAAAAAGAAAAGAGAAAGGAAAAAAGCCCCTTTTTTTCCCTCTAGGAGAGCTTTATATATAGAAAATGTAAAAGCTTGCAATTTGTGTTGGGTTTTTCATTAGCAAAGACTGTTGAGTAGCTTGAAATAAGTTTTTATAGTGCACTGGCAGACTTTTACAAGAGACTTCAATGAATGTGTATTTTTTGCTATAGATGGGCAGAGAAATTGGATCAGCTGACAGATACTGCTACGAAAGACCCAGAGGGGTTTTTGGGACATCCTGTAAATGCATTCAAGTTGATGAAGCGGCTTAATACAGAGTGGGGTGAGCTGGAGAACCTGGTTCTGAAGGACATGTCAGATGGTAAGTGTGCCTGTAGTAAGAACAAAGATCATGTTGTAATTGTACTTAACTTGACGATGTCTTTCACGTGTCGTAGTCTGGATTAGAGCTGTAAGTCTGCTTTAGAGGTACCTTCATAAAAAGTAATGCTAGAAGACCTGACATTTTGCTGTCAGTGTGCTATCATTTGAGCTTTAGAAAGAAAGAGGAAAACTGCAGCGTTTACAGTGATGGATGCTTTAAATTTTGCAAGGGATCAGGGCATTCTTCATGTACTCTCCTACTTCTTGCAAAGTAGTATTTTAGGAAATTTCATCTTCAAGTGTGCTGACTCCATTGAACAGGAAACAGGGACCAAAACTCTTCTGACTGCAAGACACGCAGGGCTGTCCCTGAGTGTGGTCAAGTGCTGCTGTTGCTGATATGCCAAAAGTTGTTAAGGTGTGATGATTCAAAACCTGCATGTTGGCAGAGAGCGAGCACTTGTGTAAATGGTCTGAACTAGTGTAGTAAATGCTTTGCTGCCTCTATTCTTCAGCAAAAGTAGAAGATTTCATTAGGGAACAGGACATGCAGTAATTGACCGTGAAAAACACTTAGCAGCAAGGAAGCTGGGATGATTATATTTGATTTGTGAGAATCTGTCACAGCAACTAATACCAGGTGTAGGTTTGTAGTAAGAAATTATAAAGAAGTAGAGCTTTCAAAAAAGACCCAGGGTTGGTCTGTGACAGGGATTTAGCAAATTCAGCTTCCCTGTTGCTGCTGTGAGGGATGAATATGCTGACTGAAAAGGCTCTGTACCTGCCAGTGTAGTAAACACTTTGCTGCCTCTTTTCTTCAGCAAAAGTAGAAGCTTTTCAGTAGGGAACAGGACATGTAGTGATTGTGAAAAACACTTAGCAGCAAGGAAGCTGGGATGATTATATTTGACTTGTGAGAATCTGTCACAGCAACTAATAACAGGTGTAGGTTTGTAGTAAGAAATTATAAAGAAGTAGAGCTTTCAAAAAAGACCCAGGGTTGGTCTGTGACAGGGATTTAGCAAATTCAGCTTCCCTGTTGCTGCTGTGAGGGATGAATATGCTGACTGAAAAGGCTCTGTACCTGCCAGCAGGAAATCTGAACCAGTGCCTCTTCAGTCTTGAAGAGTACTGTCCTTAACAGTGTTTGTTGGTGCTCACAGGGCTGTTGTCTCTTCCTGACTAATTAATGGCCTTTCCTGAAGTGTTAGCTTTCTCTGGAGCAGGGAGTAATTTCATGCGTAGAACTTATAGAATTCTTGAGACCAAGAAGGTCAAGTGTTTCACTGCCTTTCCCAGGCTTCATCTCCAACATGACTATCCAGCGGCAGTTCTTCCCAAACGATGAAGATCAGACCGGTGCAGCAAAAGCCCTCTTGCGGCTTCAAGACACATACAATTTGGACACAGACACTCTCTCAAGAGGGAATCTTCCAGGTAAGAGTCATCAATGTTATCTTCAGAAGACACTATGAACTTTTAATAATATCCTAATTACAAATCATTGGACTCTGTTCTGTTATGTTTAACTGTGTAGCGTGAAGGTAACAATAGGAAAACATTTGAGCTAGCTAAAAAATTATGAGAAGTGGTGTGATGTGGGTTGTTGAATAGAGGTTGATGTAGGTATCAGTTTTAATTCTGCCACACCTTGAGCGAGAGGAACCTGTTGCTTCTGGCTGTGCTGGTGAAGAGGAGCCCAGGAGGAGCTGACCCACTCTGGCATACTGTTGGGTCTGTTGCTATGCTGATCCTGTTGGAAACTCCATCCACTTGGCTTTCCTGCCCCATGGGCTTTCTTCTGCCAGCACACTGTCATGTGGATAAAACACACTGCGCAGAATCCACATTTCTTTCTGAATTGAGATTCTTCTTCATCTTGTTCTCCTCACTCTGCTAGTTTTCTGCTTCTGCTAGAACTTGAAGATTTCTTCATAGTTGAAGTCTGCATCTTCTAGTTATGGTAAGATAATTTAGTGTTAATAGATTTTTAATAGAAAAGTCAATAGCAATGAAATCTTGCCTGGGTGAGGATTTTCCTTCCATTGAAGTAGTTGTGCACCGGCAGATACGTTGTTTTATTGCACAATGTAATGCATTTTAACAAAACAATTCTATAATTTCACAGAATCACAGAATATTAGGAGTTGGAAGGGACCTTGAAAGCTCACCCAGTGCAACCCCCCTGCCAGAGCAGGATGACTCAGACCTGGTCACCCAGGCGGGTTTTGAATGTCTGCAGAGAAGGAGACTCCACAACCTCTCTGGGCAGCCTGGGCCATGCTCTGGCACTGTGACAGTAAAGAAGTTTGTCCTCATGTTCAGGTTGAACCTCCTATGCTTCAGCTTGCACCCACTGCCCCTTGTCCTGTCATGGGCCATCACTGAGAAGAGCCTGGCTCCTTCCTCCTGACACTGCTCTTTACAAATTCATAAACATGAATGAGGTCACCCCTCAGTCTCCTCTGCTCCAAGCTAAAGAGACCCAGCTCCCTCAGCCGCTCCTCATAAGGGAGATGCTCCACTCCCTCAGTAATTCTTATGGCTCTGCACTGGACTCTTTCAAGCAGTTCCTGTCCTTCTTGAACTGAGGGGCCCAGAACTGAACACAATATTCCAGATGTGGTCTCACCAGGGCCGAGTAGAGGGAAGTGTCCCCTTCCCTCTCACTGATAAGATGGACCTTTCACATTGGGAATGCCTGAAGTTTCTTTGAGCTTAAACTTCATGGAGTGTATGAACTGAACAACAACAAAAGACAGAGCTTGAGCTTATGTGGCATTACCTGAGGTAATCCTTAATAGATCTATATGCAGGAGAAGACACACTGCTTCCTTGTTGGAAGAGTCTTTCTCTGCTGAGTTTTCCTTGTTTCCTCTGTTTGAAAATAGTACTGTGCCAGCTGGCAAAACACCAACTCTGTACAATCCATCTGTGTTTTTGCAAGCGCTCATTGTGGTCAGATGTCTAATAAAATTAAGGGTAATTTGCTTTATATGCTGTGATGTAGAACTTTGCTTTGGGTCTAGTTCAAGGCTGTCAAAGACACACAGATTCATTCTACTACAATAAGCAGTCCATTTTTTCAAACAGCACAAAAATACAAGACAAAGTACCTCAGGTGGGCTGTAGTTTATTGCTGCTTTTGAAGCAATAAAGTGTCCAGACTGCGTAATAAAGTGTAATTGCAGAACCTGAAAGTTGCGAAGTATAAAAGAGAATAGATTGGCCTGCACACAGCTCCAGAGAGGAATATCCCACGTGATCACTTGTCTGTGCTCTTTGTCTTCTTTCCCAGGGAACTTCTGTTTGGTCAGGTCGCCAAGTTTTGATCAAAAACTTTACTGTCGTATCGCTTATTAATTCTCCTTCCGGCATTACAGGCTATGCTGTTCCTTTATATTAATTATCAACCCTATTTGATGATTGCTGTCTCAAGCAGCCTTTTAAAAATTGCCTTTTCACGTGGGATGTTATGTTGCTTCTGCATGTGCCAGGCTATGGTCCTGCATCCTGTTACCCATTCCAGAGCATCTCTTTGTCTGAGAGCACTCCACCACCACCATTGCACCCATTCCCTAATCTTTGCATTACTTTAGAGTTTGCAGCCTCAAGCTCAGAAACTTGAAATAATCGGCCATCAAAGGATGGACCACAAGGTGTTTTAATTAGTGAGGAGAATCAAAGTTCTGGGGGATACTGCTTTTTGTGGACTTGTCTCCAGCTATTGAATCTCTTAAGGGATGTCTTCAACAGAAGAATTCCCCTGTTTGAATGCAGCTGTGGGAGCTGCTGTTAGAAATTCAGGATGTGTTACGATGTAATCACAGTGTAATTTTAGCTGTAAAACTGGCAGGTCCTGTTTCCTTTTTACAAGATTAAATTTGGTTTTTCAGTGGGTCTCAATTTACAGTGCCAAAAATAGGAATCCGTAATTTGTTCACTAGTGCTTTAATCTTTCAGAGGTCTCTTCAAATGTTTCTAAAAATGACTGACTTAAAAATCTTGAGCAGCTGGGAATTTACTGACTGATGTTTTCTTTTCCCTCCCCCACGAAATTGTCACTAAGAAGATGTGCTTCAGTAATGTCTTGAAAGCCATAATACAATGTCTTTGAAAACTGATTTCTGAAACTTCATGCTTGGCTTGCTCTTGCTCTTGCTCGAAGTGTTTGGGGTTTTGAAGAAGGAAGGCTTATTTTATTTTATTTTCCACTAACAGTAAAGACATTAGCTAGTTGCTGGTATTCTGGCAATGGAGAGCTGCATCTAACCACTTGTGTGTTCTGCCAAGGATTTACAGGCTTTAAATACTTAAACTGAGCCTTCAACAAATAGCCACCACAGAAGGGAGATGTTGAAGACCGCAATGTGAACAGAAATAAACTGTACTGTGAAGAATAAGAATTGGCAGAATGTTACTTTGAAGACTGGTCTGGAATTCTGTGTAAATTCTGTTTGGTTTGGTTTATTTTAAATACAGGTGTGAAGCACAAATCCTTTCTAACAGCTGAAGATTGCTTTGAGCTGGGAAAGATTGCATACACTGAAGCTGACTATTACCACACTGAGCTCTGGATGGAACAAGCTCTGAAACAGCTGGATGAGGGAGAAGTGTCCTCTGCAGATAAAGTCTACATCCTGGACTACCTGAGTTATGCTGTGTATCAGCAGGGGGACCTGGCTAAAGCCATGACGCTCACCAAACGCCTTCTGGAACTGGGTACGTGAGAGAGAGAGATCACAGGTCACCGCGGTCTGGCTCTGTGTTGCTGCCTATGGATTTGTACTGAGGAGTGTGGTTACCTGTATTCTGACTTGCGTATGGATTATTACTGATATTACCATTAGCATCTTGATGTGTAGTTCTCAGCAAAATAAGACTTGTATTCCTATAAATTATATTTTGCTACCATATTTTTAGATGGACAATTACAGTGTCAGCTACCACATCAGAAAGCAGCATGGTTAAGGATTGCTCCTTTTTATTGAAGTATTTTCTGCTTCCTGTCACTGTAAGCTTCTAACCGCTTACCTGTCTTAGTCATTACTGCCTCAAATTTGGTTCTGTTACTGTATCTTACATTCCTGCGTTGAGATTACTGCCTCTTAGGTACAGACAAGAACAAAAATTGTTGAAGTTGAAACTAAATTGGTGATACCAAAATCTGTGCGGATTATTGAAATGCAAATTAAGCACATTTGAGATTAAAAACTTGGAAAAATAAGAAATACAGAATGCAAGACAGCTAAGATTGTCAATTTTATGAAATACAAAAACTGTTTATGCTTCTATAAATATTCCACTGATCGACTGTCTAAAGGATGCTGTAGGAAGTTCAGAACTAAACCCAATATAGCAAAGACCAGTGAGAAACATTAAGAAACTGAAGCTAATTTTGTAAGTTTAGTGATTCATAAAAGCTTTGTCACCAGAAATCTGAATTCCCATGAGGGAAGTTTTTGGGTGTAAAGCCAGGCATGCTGTCCCAGCTCTCTCCCTGTCCTGCTCCCTTGTCTCTCCCTCTCTGATGAGATTGGCTGGAACGCCCAAACCCTTTTTCATAGTGCTAGGACACCTGTGCCTGCTGAAGATCCAGGCCTCAGAGTAAGCAGTTTCTTAACTGAATGGATTGAGCTTAGGTCTGAAAGCTCATCGTGTGTTTCCCTGCAGCTGAGTAAGGATATGTGCATGCTGGAGGCTAGCATTGCTTCCAGCTTAGCTCCGAGTTTTAACTATCTTGTGAATGTGTTCAGGCCAGAGTAAATGTTTCTAATTTCTATTTGAGAAGCAGTAGTGTGCATCTGTTTTCATTTTCTTTTGTAAATAGCCTTGTCTGGATACTTCTTTGCAAGTTGGAAACTAGCCAGTCATACTTGTCTGTTTCTTTGTCAACAGATCCTGAACATCAGAGAGCAAACGGGAACATGAAATATTTTGAATATATCATGGCTAAAGAAAAAGAAGCAAATAAGTCCAGTACGGATTCAGAAGACCAGGTGGAGAAGGAAACTGAGGTTAAGAAAAAGGATTACCTACCTGAGAGAAGGAAGTACGAAATGCTGTGCCGTGGGGAGGGTCTCAAAATGGTAAAGTGGAGTAGACTGTTTTAAAACGTATGAAAGCAACCGTAACAAAACAATGCCAAGAATTTGTATGTGGTGTAAAAGCGAGGAAATTGTTACAGCAGTTGGCTGCGTGCGTAGAATTGAGGATTAGCGTGTGTTGGATTTCTTCCCCGTTTCATTCTGTCCAGTAGACAAAAAGTAATACTGCCACAGGCACAGCTTGCTAACTTTGATGCACTACATAATCGTAATTAATTGAATAAGGATGCTGGAAGTCTGGATCTACATATGAATTGAATGAGGGTAGGGTTTTAGTGATGATTATTTTTAATAGGGCTATAAAGTACTGCTTGTTGCAGTATTAGAGTAACATTAATGTGCTGCAAGTACTCATTTCTCAAACTTAGAGCATCTCTTTAACTTGTAACATAACATTAACGTAGGGGAAGTGAATTGTTCCTGTCTGTTGTTCTCAGGACATCATCTGTTTCTTAGAGGTATCAATGCCATATGGAAGTGCTCTGATTATCTCTTGCTCCACCTTGCTTCCAGAGTCCTCGGAGACAAAAAAGACTCTTCTGCCGTTACTATGATGGAAACAGGAATCCAAGATACATTCTGGGCCCTGTCAAACAGGAAGATGAGTGGGACAAACCTCGAATTGTTCGCTTCCTTGACATCATCTCCGATGAAGAGATTGAAACTGTGAAAGAACTAGCAAAGCCGAGGGTAAATGCCTTACACGTCTTTCCCTTTTGGAATCTTAAATTCCTTGTGTAGTTTTCTGTGTGAGTGTGTGTGATTCTGTCTCCTCTTGAATGCAGATGTGCGTGCAATGTGCTCACACCTTGCTTTTCTCACCTTGTCGCTCTTGGTGACACTCTTCCATGGACACAGTAGGGAAGCTCTAAATTCTGTGTAATTAAGAGCCAGGTAACAGCAGTGCAGGATTGTCAGCCTCTCCCAGTAGGTGCAGTTTCCGTGCATGCTGTCTCAGATAAGGTGGAGAATATTCTACAACAGAAAATAAATGTACTGCAGCGAGGTTCCCTTGAAGTGATTCCTGTCATCTGGTTTTTGTTTGGTTTCCTGGTTTTGGTTTTTTTCTCTTTTTTAAGTCTATTTGCCAAAGCTGTGACAGGCAGAAGAGTGCAGCCTAGGGAAAGGCAGCCATTCCTCTGGTCCTGGAATGCCACGTTACTGTATAGACAGGAATGAGTGGTTGTATTCAGTGTAAAACTGACTTCTGTCTCTCAGGCTCTCCCTGTTGCCTGCAGATGAAAAAGCCTTAAAAGGGCAATACTTAATCAGTGGTACTCAGCTTCTGATGCACAATGCCAGCTCATCAAATCCTATTTCAGAAACTGGATCTGGAGGTTCTTGTTTCTGAATGCAGAATAATCCAGGGCAGCTCAACTGTCAAAGAGGAGCGTCCAAGACAAACAGCAAACTGATGGAGTTGCCTTCTGTATCCAGTTGGTACGACTCTGCATGCACTTCAGCATGTGTGTTGAACATGTAGTTAAATTGATTTTTTTTCCCCATCAGTTACCAGTTACTTTTAAAATAAGATTTAAACTTGTAGAAAGCTTTCCTGCATTTTTCTTCGGTTTTAGCCTAAATGGATTTTCATCCAGAGAGAGCTCAGCAAATGGAGGTCAGGGGGATAAGTGTATTAAGCATGAGACAAAGTGTTAGCTCGGTCTGCTGCAAAGTGAACCAGCTGTGGGTTGTATACGGGCACAGAGAGGATGAGGCTGTTCAACAAGTACTAGATAGCCTGGCAGCAGTTTTAAAACTTCCTGAAGGCTGATGCATTGTAAGTGAGAAATACAAGCAATTCTCTTCATTTACCTGTAAAACCTTACCTATCTGCTCTCCTGTCAGGCAGCCTTGCTGCAAGTCTGAAAATCAGAGCCCAAGTTGTTTTGTCTGTCGATGATTGAGCCCTTTTGCTACTGCAAAGCTCTGGCATGACATCCGTGGAATATGCCTGAATTACTTCTTTATGGAGTAGAAGTCTCAGCACTGAAAAGAAAAACCTGTGAACGTGGTGGTTTTAACTTCTGAACTTGCTGAGATAATTGTTTTCCTATCAGATGTTTGGCTCATGGTAAAGACTTGGAGATTCATAGCTCATTAATGCAGAAGCATCTGTATGCAGTTAAGTGTTCAGCATATTTCCTACCAAGGCCTTGCAGGGCTCAGTAATGAGTGTAGCAAAAGGACTGTGTTTTTTGAGACCAAAAGGTCATCTCCTTGTTTGCGATGCTTAGGATGTTACCGTCACCGCCTCTCAGAAGACAGTGCTGTCTGATGTGCCCAGCCTTCTGTTGTGCTGGCGCCGTAAGCTGGCAGGGCGAAGCTTTATTATTCAGCTGTGGGAGTCTCGCTGGAGTCGTAGTTTGTGCCTTGATTCTTACATGCATCTGCATGAGATCAGAGGCTCCATACAAAGAGTTCCCAGTACCTGTTCTTGTTAGTAGGCATGGAGAGCCCTTGATTTACTTATTTTAACAACAGAAAAATACCTTTACTTGTTTGGGACTTGGTATGCCGTTTTTGTGCCTCTTCCAAAATGTGGGCTCTGCAGCTCAACCTTTCCGGTTCCGAGTGATGGATGGTGTCCGATAGTACATGAACAAAGTTAAAGGGCGCACGTAAGGTTCTGAATTACATTATTAACGTGGATGGAATGGCGTTACGTAAACTGAGTGCAACAGAGGAAAAGGAAAGCCTTGAACCAAGAGTTTGCACTCTGTACAACTCAGGAATACACTGGACACGTATCTATGGACTAAACAGTTTGTGTTGGCAGTCATGGTTAAAAGGAATTTGGTGCTGCTTTTGGTATAGAAAGAATCAAAAAGGTAGGGTTATTCATCTGCTGCTTACACAAGGTCACAGTGTTGCCTGGATTCAATTTAACTCTAAAACTCCTCTTACATGTGCAGGACAGAGAGCTAACAAAGGATCAATTGTACTTGTGCTGTAATATTGTACTGCTTCCAGCAGTTGTTGCAGTATGAAAGAATTGAAAGCTTTTAGTTTACTTTATTCTGCCGACTGTTCTTGCTACAGAAATGGAAACATCACTTCCTGGAAAACTCGATCTTCTCTAACTCCATTTTAATAATAAAAAAAACCATACCAAAAACTCCTAAAAACCTTCTCTTTGTAAAATTGGAGACTCCCTATCCTTCTTCATCACTGCTTTACGACTTTCCACTCCCTCCATAAAAGAAAAAACCACCGCAAAAGGTGACTGGGCGGCTGGCATGGGGGCTTGCGTGGTATTTCCCCTTAGGCTTCTGAATGGTCGGATTGCTGTGATGCAGTATGTGCTTTGTAATGCAACTGTTCTGATGGTTCGCTTCACAGCTGAGGCGAGCCACCATTTCAAACCCCATAACGGGAGCCTTGGAGACGGCACATTACAGAATTAGCAAAAGGTAAGAGAGCTCTATGCCAGATGTTTTGGGCCCGTAATGAGTGCGTACATTCTGCTCATTATGGGGAAAAAAGAGGTGGTCTAAAAAGCCAACTTTGGCTTTGTAGTCCACTGCCTTATTACACGCAGATCTGTAACAGGCTGTTACTGCTGAGTTTCTCAGTCTTTTCCTTCAGCTAGAAGTTCTGGGGGCATATTTTGATTTCTTCTACTTTTTTTTTCTCACCTCCCCAGCACGCATTCTCAAATGATCTGTACGAGAAGCAGGTCTTTACAGTCAGTGTAAAAATTACGCGATGCTGCAAAACCTTCAGTAGAACCTATTAATTTTTTTTACATTCCCTCCCCCTTGCTGATCTCACCAACCCAAAATTGTTCTCCTTTACCTAGTAAAAATCTGTCAGACCACTTGAAGTGCCTGTACATGTGTAAGTTATGCTTGAAGTTGTTACCGTGCGTGACAGCTGGTGTGGCCTGCAAAACACACGTTCGTTAGTCACACAGCATCTCATTGTCCGAACTAATCCCATTCTCCTGTCTGGGCTCTTTTACGTCCTGCTGACACAAGTCTGGCAGAACACAAGCTCCTTGTCACTGGGCTCCTGGTCCTTTCCAGCTTGTCCATTAACTACTCTGAGTCTTGAATTTAGCCAATGTTTTCCAAAATTGGCTGGCTGTAAAAGAAACCACCTGCCCCCTGCCCGCCCCCCTGGTTTTAGTAGTGGTGATTAAAAATTGTCCGCATGTTCCATCAGCATTCAGCCAAAATTCTGAAAGGAGTTAAACTTCTGGGTGAAGAGAAACTGGCTGTGAAACTCAGCATCATAAATTATTTGCAGAAAGTCTCTAGTTTAAAACAAAAAAAAAAGGAGAAAAAAAATAAAAGGAAAAAAAAAAGGAGGAAAAAAAGTGAAAGGACAATCCAACCAAATTTTTCCAACCAATTTCTTCTGATTTGGACGTGGCAGCTACAGCTTCTGTTGCCCTTCTAATATTGCTAATTTAAGAGCATTGCATACCATCCGGACCAATCGGAACCCTTTCAAACACCTGTGGCTTGGCAAAAAAGCAGCCGACTAGGTGGGTAAGCCCTTGTCCTTTCTCTTTTTGTAGCTGAGCCGTGCTACTGTTCATGACCCTGAGACGGGGAAACTGACCACAGCACATTACAGAGTCTCTAAGAGGTAAGGGAACGTCTTCCAAAGGTATACCCAGTCTGAGGAAGTCTACTGCTTCATCTAAACGTGGGGCAAAGAAGGATTTTGCATAGCTTTTCTAGTCTTAGTCTCTCTTTAGAAGAAAGAGGTGGAAGAAGAAAGAACCTCCAAGATGGAGGTGCCCTCTTTTGCTGAGCATGGCTTGTGTAGTGCATCTGTTGTACTAAAACGCTAGCGCCGCGCCACGTTCTGCTTCCACTAACCCACCGTGCATAAAGCTGTGTCTGTAGCTCACCTCGGCCACTAACCTCCAGTATTGATCCTTGCTTACAACTAGGCACTGATGAGCTGCTCCAATTCATGGGAGCAGTGCAAATTAAAGCTGGCTGATGATTTGAAAGGATTTGCTTGTTTAAATGATTGGAAGGAGCTTGAATAGAAAACTAGTGTTGTTTCAGCTGCTTTGAAGAAAAACAACCCTGAAATTAGAATGGCTAGTAGCTTAAGGGTTTTTATTTAGCTGGGAATTTCTTTAGAAAGATAAAAGTGCTTCAAAATACTGTTGAAAGACAACTTGATTGATTCAAGAATGATTATAACTCCCATGGAAACGAGAAAACCATTGTAGCTGGTCTGATCCTTAAAGCCACGCTTGTTACAAGAGGTGGCAAGTTGAAAACGTTTGTTCTTATACATTGAAGACTGCCCTGAACCTTTAGGAGCACGCAAGTAGTGGGAATCCTGTCTGCTCCTTAAAAATACCTCCACAGGCCCCCTCCAGAACGACTTCAGGAACATATGTTTTCCTGTTTGACATGTGTTGCATTTAATTTTGCTTTTTTGTTTTTAATTTTAAAGTCTGTCCGTGTCTTACCTACCTTAGTTATCTGTGACTGCGTATTTTAAATAAACCATTTATTTAGTCCTGGGAACTGCTCTGGGGCATTTACTGAAGAAACTCGTTAGTGCATTTGAACATACTCTCCTGGTTTCTGTCAAACTTGATGTGCTAATAAGAGGAATTGGAGAAGGTGACCAGATCACTGAATGAAACTGAGAGGCAGACTTGGCTCCTACTTAAACAGCTGATCCTTAGTAAAAGAACTTTTTACTTAGTATTGATTTTCATTCGTGGGAAGTGTTGCGCCTTGAGACTGTTGCAGATGCCACAGTCAGAAAAACCAGCGCTAGACACCACCCATCATTAAAAGCCAATGCCCTCCTGACTGTGTGTGCCTGATGGTGCAGCCAGGTCCCGTTGCCATCACCTTGTTACTGGCTTTGTGACATGACAGAATGGCTGAATCTCATGGGGCTTTAGTCTGGAATTAACCATGTGCTGTACCTTGCCTAGGGACTCTGATACAGCACGAGGGCAGTGTTGTCTGCTGAGCGCTGCTGCCTGGGGTAGAGCCAAACGTCCTGTTCCTGGTGAATGACACCCTTAAATGTTTAAGGCTTGGTGCTCAAAAAGGTGGCAGTCTGGGACTTCCAACATACCAAAGAAACTCACAGAATTACATCAGATTTTACTGAGCTAAGATTTTTAGTTCTCTGTCTCACTGGAAACTGGAATTAGAATTGCAAAGAACCATACAGGTAAATGGGGCACAGCACACTGTGAAGTTAGTGACAACAATTTTTTGAGGGTAGGAATGGATGTGAGGGTGGAAGGGGACTTTACTTCTTGTGTTCCCCCTTGCCTTTGCATTCCTCCATGTGCAGATTGTTTAGGATGTATAGATTTTAAAAGAGAACTTGACACCTAAATCTATAGTAGGAGATAAAAGCCACCCCAAAACTCCCAAGCCTGACTGCTTTAGAAGGGATCGTGTTGCTAACGCTGGATCACTGAACCCCTCTGTGCAGAGTCACTGGTAGAAACATCTTTCTGTGAGGGCTGCTTGAGCTGGTTTGGATTCCAGATGAATCACTGCTCCTGAAAACAAAAAAATGCTTGCTTTATGTTTTTAATAGATGACTGCTTTCACCCTTCAAACATTCTTTCCTAGCAAATGCCCTTCTAAATTACAGCATTCCTCTCTGAGAGAGGACTACTGTTCCTGTGCAGTACGTGGCAGGCTGTATAAAAGGGGGCACCTTGCCAGCGGTACGAGGAGCACCGTCAAGCCGTGCTGCGTGCAGCACCGGAACAAACCCAGCCACTGCTTTTAAAGCTCTTTTTTGTCCTTCTCTCCTCCCAACAGCCAGTTGGAGCTTATAGCATATGATGTTAAAGTTTCCACTTCAGAAATACCAGGCTGTGCTTTTATTCACTCCCTGTTGCATCTCTACTGGTCCTTTCTACATACTAAGTACATTTTAGAACATTTTTAAACAGAAATGCCAATGTTTTGATTGACCAATGACTGTTACAAAAGTGGGGTTGATAACGTCTGGTACCAGAACAGTGAGTGCAGCTGGAGGAGATGAGCTTTGGGGCCTGTAAGCACTTGTATGTCATATAGCTTTGGACAGTTGTCTAGTTTTTATTCCTAATATGCTGCTTAGTCTAAAATGATTTCTATATGTGAGTATTGTACTATTAAATATTTAATGAGTAACCCAATAAATAAACATTTAATAAGTGACCCAATACAGAATTATAAGAGGGAGGAGTAAATGTAATTACTGCTAGCCGTTTGTAATGACTATAAGAGTTAAAGGCCAGATCTTGGTGTAAGGAAGAAGAAAAGCAATCCCCTGGCATGAATTCAGCGTGCCAATGAAATTCTCATTTCAATTTCTAGAACGTATTAGCTTAGTTCACGGGTGTCTTTTTACAAAGCCAAATGGGACACCAAAATACTATGCCTTTGTAGTCAGGGAATTTGGGGTTTTGGTGTGGTGGTTATTAAGGAAATACCAAATCCTCCTGTAAGTCTAAAACTGCCATGTTTATGACTTGCCAGAAATAGGCTTGTCTGGTTTTGGTTTGGTTTTTTTGGTTACAGAGTTCTGTGCCCATAATGGACTCATAGATGTCAGCTGGTCAAAAATACGACAGAATGCAGTTCATGCAAGGCAGCTTGTCAGATCAGCACCTTAATGTTACAAATGTGCGTTAAAGAATAGAGCTGTGTGCATTTCCTGAATCATGCTGAACCTCGGACTGTGCATTTATTAAAAGAAACGTGTTTGTTGAGCACAATCCATGGCTGTTAATTCTGCATCACAGACACCACTGGTGAGGGATTTTATTTTTTTAATTGATAGACAAGAGCAGGGAAAATTCCTTTGTGTGAAGAGAATAAAGCTATAAACGGGCTTGAACTAGGCACACACTTAGATTGATGTTAGCAAAGGCCCAAGGCAGAGACAAGCAACAGGAGAGGCCAGCGCAGCACAGGTTGTTGTGTTCTAAGGAGGCCTCTAGGCAAAGCCTGCAGGCTCAGAAGCCCTTGTTGTGGCACGGAGACTCCCTGAAGCTGGACAGTTGGTGCAGGGCTCTGCAGGCCCTCCTGAGCGCTCTGCCCTTGCAGGAGGAGATCTCGTGGCACTGGGAGGGTTAAGTCACACTGCAGCTCTGTGTGAAGCTCTTCAGCACTGTGTGCCTCCCCCTGAGTTTTGCTCAGCAACCAGGCTGGCACTCAAAGTACGGTTTCAGTTCGTGTTTCCTCCACCTTACATAGACTTTCTTTGTATCCTTGGGCAATTAACTTTATTTTAAAAAATACACATAGTACTTTCCCTTCATGAAAGGCTGTAGTATTCTCCCAGTTGAAATCATTCATTGCAATTCTAAATAACCAATATCGTAAGAATGCTTCATTTTTTCTTTTCTTGTTGGTGGATTTGTTGGGTTTTGTTTTGTTTTTATTTTTTCCTTCTTTCCCTTAAAGCTGACAGGTGTAGGCTGGACAGGGGTAGCTGAAGACTGCACTTTGAAGCTAATGGCTGTGTTGGGGCTTTTCTTGTGTATTAGGTGTGAGGTTAGGATTGCTTGTGAGTGTCCAACGTGGCTGCGTGGCATGTGGCTGCAGAGCTGCTTATTTTTTTTTTCCAAATGCTTCATATAAGTAGTGTTTGTGTTCTCCTATCACCCTAAATCAGAGCAGGTTGCATCGTAACCCTTCCTTACACTAACAGTGTTCAGCAGTCAGTGAATCTCGGTCTGTGTCTGTGCAAGTCTGTCTTGAGAAATCACATTTCTTTCTTTTAGCTGTAGTTCATTTGTCATTAAAAGAAATGATCGTAGAGATTCTGTAACCTGTGTCAGTGCCTTGTGTCATATGTCATGCTACTGTTCCTCCCATGCAATGTGCTTTTTGGTGGTTTTTTAATACAATTTTATTTTCAATACAATTTTTTTAATGCAATTTTTTTAATTAAAGATAACAACCTTAATTTAGCATAGACGTGAAAGTCCATTTGAGTAGAAATACTATGATGTACTTACCAGCTAGGCTCTGGGCTTAGGTATTTCTGTCCAACAGTCTTGTAAAAGCAGCAGGAACCACTGATGAGCCCAAAAGGATGAGTCAGATGCTACAAAAAAGATAGAAGTGGCTGTCTCTGTTTTCCTGCAAAAAAAAGAGGAAAAACAAATCACCAGTACTAACATCCACGTTAGCCACTCACAGGGGTCTGCCAGGGTGAACAGAGAAAAGGACCAGGGAGGGCAGTGAGCACGCCAAGAGAGGAGCGGGTAAAATGAAGGTGCATTACCTAGAATGGGATGAGTAAAGCAGCAAGAAAAGGCAGTGTTGTGTGCAGACGAGTGGTGTTTTGTTGTTGTTTTTTAAAAAAGACACTGTAGATAAAACTGACTTTTTTTTTTAAAAGGAACAAAACAATTACCTTCTAAAGAGATGAGCTGTGTGTGCTTGTTTCCACGTAAGCCACTGGCTGTGTTCACGGATGGGAAGGGTCCAGCAGGGATGAGCTGTGGTTCCACTGAGCTTGTGCCCCTCTGCCAGACACCGCTGTTCTGGGCTGTGGCTACTTCTGGAGACACAGCTCAGCTGCTTCCCAGTCATGCAGCTCTCGAGCAGAAGCCACTGAGTAGGAAATGCTGCACTGGGTCTGGGGGAAGGCAGCGATTCTCAAGTAGAACTGGCTGGTCACACCTTGCCCTGCTGACTGGTTTGCCAGTTATTTTAACTGCAGTATTTCTAGCTGAAAAGTTCCAGTTTAAAGTAGGAGGCAGTTTGAACATGCGTTTGGAACTATGAGGCTGACCTTTCACATTTATATGGTAAAATTAAATAAAAAGTTATTTCTTCCTCCTTAAAAGCAATTGCATACCTTAAACGTGTGCTAAATACCAAATTTGTAATAGGCTGTTTTGGTAGAAATTGTTCAACAGGGAAAATAGTACAGAATTTCATGCGTTATTTAACTGTTTTCTTAATGATTTTTAGCAACATTGCACAGTAAGTAATGTGAAAGGACAGATCACAGCGTGCATGTGCCATGTGGAAGAGCTGAGTTACAGTCACGTAGACTCTGCCTACACTAAAGCATCTCAGCTTTCAAAATGCATCAAATGTGGGGTCTAAATTAGCTGTTTGGAGTGGGTAAGAGCAAATGTGTTTTGTGCCTGTTACAGAAAACATCTTGAAGCAAATCTCACTGTCTGGAACATTTTCAGTCAGTTGGTAGCCCACTATGGGAATTAAGGGCTTCAGTTTTAGAGCTTCTTTAAACCAGTGCTGTAAGTGTTCTTTCTAGAAAACGTGTTTATTAACTGGAGGCCTTAGTAATGCTCTGGAAATATTTCTGACCATCCTACCAAATGCTTGAAAAGTACGAAAAAATGACTCTCAAATGTGAAGTAATTCCAAACGTCGCACTTGTACTGCTAGCTTACTGCCTGTTACTGCCATGTTTTATTAATTTTTATCTCCCACCCCCCCTCCCCTCCCCTTAGTGCGTGGTTGTCTGGATATGAAAGCCCTGTGGTATCTCGCATCAACACAAGGATACAGGACCTAACAGGACTTGATGTCTCCACAGCAGAAGAACTGCAGGTAAACTGTTAGGACGAGAATGACGGCAGATGTCAATTGGCATTTCCTTTTGGATGCTTTGTGTGCAGCACCGTGTTCACTCAGGTGGTGGTGGTGAGGAGGCCACACAAGCTCATTCAACCCTAGGCCGGCTAATTTGATGATTGGTTTGATTCCAGGCCATGGAGTGGGTTTTTTACAGGCAGGAAGAAACAAAAATTATCTTTGCAGAGTAGCACGCAGTAAGTGAAACTCCTGCTGTTTGTTGAAGTGAATGTGTAATTCCTTCTTATTTAAAAAAAGAAATACTATTCTTAGTCCTGGCTAACTGGGGAGGTCCCAGTCGATTGGAGGCTTGCAAATGTGATGCCCTGAGTGCCATCACACAGCACATGCAGGACAACCAAGCGATCAGGCCCAGTCAGCATGGGTTCAGGAAGGGCAGGTCCTGCTTGACTGATCCTGTCTCCTTTTATGACGAGGTGACGAGGGGAAGGCTGTGGACGTTGTCTAC